TCCTGCTGATATTGGGGGAGGTGGGGTGGAGTATAGTTTCTGAAGAACTAGTGTTTTCAGATTTCTAGAGTCTCAGCACAAATGTTATCTGAATATGAGGCATTGTGAATAAAGTGTTAGTTATCTAATGTGTATTATTTCACTGTGGAATTATGGAAATCATTGAGAAGGGGAATGAAAACTATTTTGACAGATAACATTTATTAAAGACATTTTAGAATATAGGCTTGAAAATTTATATTACATAGGCTTGTAAGTTTAGCGTTATTGGTAGACTCTTCTGGAGAGCGTGGTAGTTATTACCAGGAAAATTTATGGTTCATCTTAAATTTAAATAGCGTTAAGTCTGGTCCCACTGCTTGTTTCAATTGCTCTGTGTTGGCAACTCAAACTTTTCTCTTCCACAGAGTTAATCAGTAATTAATAGTGAAGTTTTAAGCATTCATTAATGAAGTATTCTTCATTGTTTTAGAATCTTAGTGTTAGATGGCCCTTTAAAGATCATGTTCTACCAATTGAGGAAATAATTTGGTAAATTCATTTCTGAGATGGGGAGCATACCTCATAAGATAGTCTTTTCTACTTTTGGGATATTTTCTTGTTTGGCGAATTAAAATTCTCTTCTCCATTCCTGTGGCATCAAAAAAGAACAAATAAAAAAATAAAAACCCCAAAATATCATTCTGAAGCTGAAGACAGCTACCATCTTAATCCTTGTAAAATATAGTTCTGAGTTGCTCTCTTCTGGATGTCTGACTTAATTAACTTTTAAAAGGTATTGTGAAACCTAAAATAGTGTAGTATAGAGAAACTTCCTTCTGTTTTCTGGATAATTCTGTTAATGCAAGTCTAAGATGATATTAGCTTTGTTATCCATAGCACACTTTAACTCGTGTTTACTTATTCATCACTTAATTATGATACTTTCTGTTAGTTTCACAGTTGTTAAATACTTCTGGGCTATTTTATTTTATTATTATTTATTTATTTATTTATTTTTTTTTTTGCGGTACACGGGCCTCTCACCGTTGTAGCCTCTCCCGTCGCGGAGCACAGGCTCCGTACGCGCAGGCTCAGCGGCCATGGCTCATGGGCCCAGCCGCTCCACGGCATGTGGGATCTTCCCGGACCAGGGCACGAACCCGTGTCCCCTGCATTGGCAGGCAGACTCTCAACCACTGCGCCACCAGGGAAGCCTTAGGCTATTCTAGATACAATACTTCTAAGTCATTTTTTTTCTCGTGTGATTGATTCCCCGTCCCCCCACCCCCCATATGTTGTTTATTTAGTTTTGGTCCATTGTGCTAAAAAAAAGCTCTTTTGTATCTGCCTTCTGGTTGGAGGTTTGAAGTATATTTTTATAATACTTAAAAATTTCTGTTAACTCTCTTTTCTGAGTTACCCTATCACATTTTCATTTTCCACTCAGGTGTTTTTTTCCCCAATGTATGATGTTCTCTTTATTTTTTATTTATTTATTTTTTACATCTTTATTGGAGTATAATTGTTTTACAATGGTGTGTTAGTTTCTGCTTTATAACAAAGTGAATCAGTTATACATATACATATGTTCCCATATCTCTTCCCTCTTGCGTCTCCCTCCCTCCCACCCTCCCTATCCCACCCCTCTAGGCGGTCACAGAGCACCGAGCTGATCTCCCTGTGCTATGCGGCTGCTTCCCACTAGCTATCTATTTTACGTTTGGTAGTGTATATATGTCCATGCCACTCTCTTGCTTTGTCACAGCTTACCCTTCCCCCTCCCCATATCCTCAAGTCCATTCTCTAGTAGGTCTGTGTCTTTATTCCTGTCTTACCCCTAGGTTCTTCATGACAGTTTTTTTTTTAAATTCCATATATATGTGTTAGCATACGGTATTTGTCTTTCTGTTTCTGACTTACTTCACCCTGTATGACAGACTCTGGGTCTATCCATTTCATTGCAAATAGCTTAATTTTGTTTCTTTTTATGGCTGAGTAATATTCCATTGTATATATGTGCCACATCTTCTTTATCCATTCATCCAATGATGGACACTTAGGTTGTTTCCATGTCCTGGCTATTGTAAATAGAGCTGCAATGAACATTTTGGTACATGACTCTTTTTGAATTCTGGTTTTCTCAGGGTATATGCCCAGTAGTGGGATTGCTGGGTCATATGGTAGTTCTATTTGTAGTTTTTTAAGGAACCTCCATACTGTTCTCCACAGTGGCTGTATCAATTTACATTCCCACCAACAGTGCAAGAGTGTTCCCTTTTCTCCACACCCTCTCCAGCATTTATTGTTTGTAGATTTTTTGATGATGGCCATTCTGACTGGTGGGAGATGATATCTCATTGTAGTTTTGATTTGCATTTCTCTAATGATTAATGAAGTTGAGCATTCTTTCATGTGTTTGTTGGCAGTCTGTATATCTTCTTTGGAGAAATGTCTGTTTAGGTCTTCTGCCCATTTTTGGATTGGGTTGTTTGTTTATTTGTTATTGAGCTGCATGAGCTGCTTGTAAATTTTGGAGATTAATCCTTTGTCAGTTGCTTCATTTGCAAGTATTTAGATTTAAATCTTTTTTTAAACACCATCTATGTGCCAGGCACCTATGGAGGTTCACTTTTTTAAAAAAAATTAATTAATTTATTTTTGGCTGCGTTGGGTCTTCATTGCTGTGCATGGGCTTTCTCTAGTTGCGGCGAGTGGGGGCTACTCATTGTGGCTTCTTTTGTGGCAGAGCATGGGCTGTAGGTGCCTAGGCTTCAGTAGTTGTGGCGTGTGGGCTATAGAGCAGAGGTTCAGTAGTTGTGGTGCGCGGGCTTAGTTGCTCTGTGGCATATGGGATCTTCCTGGACCAGGGTTGGTACCCATGTCCCCTGCATTGGCAGGCGGATTCTTAACCACTGCATCACCAGGGAAGTCCAAGGTTCACTATTTTTATAGTGAAGTACCTTCCAGCCTAGGAGTTTGGGGTTTTTTTTTTAACTAAACTCTTCATCAGACCTCTTCTGTGGTAGCCTGTTTTGCAGTTTGTGTAACATTTTCTTCTTTCCCTTCAAACTAAAGTTGGAAGCCTTTAGCCCACCACATGTCTCTTTATCTTCACGATATGAGCTTTGTCCTTTGGGGATTTATCATTCTAAGTCATGGTTCAGAAAATAAATTTTATGGTTCGGTGCTATTGGTTGACAGCAGTTTACTTCATATCTTCTTTCTAAATCAGTTTTCAACTGAAAGAAGAGAAGTAACCTAATTTCTTAGTTTCCACATAAATAAGAATAGGCTGCTGTCAGTGGTTTTCTGACTGACATAGGAAAAACACCTATGGGGAGAAAAGACATCTGATTATGACCTAGGAGACAGCATGTTTCTTACTTGATACCTGATAGAATCGATAAATATTTGAGGTCCTGTCATGTGTCAGACTCTGTGCTGGGTACTAGTGATATGCTGGTGAACAACAGAGGTATAGTCCCTGCCATCATGGAGCTGAAGCATAAGGGGGAATGCAGCTAAAGAAAAAGATAAGCATTTCATGTAATAGATACTTTGATAGGGGAAGTTCAGGATGACCTGAGACCATAAGAACACGTAATCCAACCCTGGGAGGTGGCCAAAGAGAGATCTGAGGTAATCATGTGATATAGTCCTGAAGATGTCCTCAGCACCAATTGCCTTTTCTTATACCATCATGAATCTGTGTCCAAGGGAATCCCACTGTCTTGGAGAGCTAGAATTGCCACCTCTATCGTCTTTCCTCCTCTCAAGCAGAAGCTGAGTTTGGTAAGTGTTATTGGTGTAAGTCCATAATAAGGTCTTGGAAAAAGCTTTTCTGAGCCTTTGCCGTCCTGAAGAAAATACCCTTGCCCATGTAACCCCCAACCAGTCCATTTCTCACTCTTAAAATTTTATCTTCAGCCACTGTCTCTTGTCCCTGGTAGTAGCACAAGTCATATTTATTAAGTTGCTTTCATACCCTGTAGAAAGGAATTAATAATGCCATAATGAATCTTTTTTCTGAGGTTTTTTTTTTTTAAGCCCCATCTTGATTAGGATTTATGAATGTCTCTTTTGTAGAGTTTTAAATGTTGATGTTGAATCAAAGTACTTTAACTCATCTATAGGAAAAATCTAAAAGTTTTTTTTTTGTTGTTATCTTAATTTTCATACCTTGGAAAATATCCAGTATGTTGGAAACATTACAAACAGAAAAACACCTATGGGGAGAAAAGACCTTTTGGGTTTCTCAGTGGAAATAGATGGTACTTTTTGTTATTGGTATTTTATAAATGAGAAGCCACTTTTGGGACCCACATATTATATCAGACTTTAGGGTATTACGGTTGTAAGCTTTAGAGTAGACTCGGAGCTGCTCAGTCTGCACACACATAAACACACACACACTCATTTGAGGGAAAATTTACATTCCACTAATTTTCCATGTGTGTTTCCATGACAAACTATTATGAAAATCTCTCAATTTTGCTTAAAAAAACCCCTGTTTGCTGTGGCTGTTTTTTTGGCATTACATTTGTAAGACATTTTATTTCTGTTTGGTTTTCAGTTCCTTATGCTTTAAGCAGTCTTCTTTGGTTGGTTGAAAATCAACCATTTTAAATACTCTTCCCCTGGAACATAACATTTAAAAAGAAACCCAAACTAAACTGAAGCATTTTCTTAAAATATTTAGCCTAAAAAGGCTTGGTATACGTAATATGGAAAGGTAAAACCTTGTGATTAATTTGGACATTAACGATAGGTACTTTCCTTCTCATCATGGTGATAGTAGAGGTACTAGGTTCAGCCTGGGGTTGGGAGTCACATATTTGGACTTCTTTAGCTTTGGTTATAGCTGAGACAAACCAGCCAAGTACTCAGTGACTTCTTTAGCTCAGAAAGCAAGCAGGCGGTTAAATGACCTTGTCAGTTTCACAGTCAGTGTTATATATTTGAGATTTATCATCTAATCTCAACTCTTTGGGATTGGACTTTTGTAGACGAATGGATTGCTAGTATGGGTTGTGGAGAGTTGTCAGCCTTAATTAGCGTTTGTTTTAACAGCTGCTTAAAGCGCAGAAGAAAGCCCAGAGAAGGGAGCACATGCTAAAACTTGAGGCTGAGAAGAAAAAGCTTCGCACTATACTTCAAGTTCAGTATGTATTACAGAACTTGATGCAGGAACATGTACAGAAAGACTTCAAAGGGGGCTTGAATGGTGCAGTGTATTTGCCTTTAAAAGAACTTGACTACCTCATTAAATTTTCAAAATTGACCTGTCCTGAAAGAAATGAAAGTCTGAGGTAAGTTAATGAAAATATTTTCCTGAAACAGGACACATAACATTTTAGTCTAGTTTTTCAGCATGTATATATGTATATGTATGTGTGTATGTGTATACATATATATTCAGCTTTGGAAACGTTGGCCTGCCCAGACTCTCACGAGGTTGATAGCCTGTCTACTAAAAAAGTGAATTTGAATGATATCATTAACCTGCTTCTTTATTGTAACACTGATTTTTAAAATGTATTATCAAGTTTTAACCTTATATAGGTGTTAACCATAATACTAATTATGTATATTCTTAAAATTTTTTTGTCATTATATCAGGCTGTTGTGTTACCTGAGAGTCTTTGCCTCCTTACTACTGCTGTACTTAAGTGGAGGTGAATAAAATTTAACTTGATTAGTATCACTAAACTGTCAAAGAATTATCGAGTGTTCTTCTTAGGCTGTGAGTAAATACTGAGAAACAAATCTGATAATTTAAAATATAAAACCAGCAAATTGAGGCAACCCAATTTTTTTCTCCTACAGTATCTATTTACTGTTTTTGCTTAGATGGAGTAAATCAGCTAATGAGCAGAAGCTCTATGCTTTTGGTTTGTTAGATACAGGTTGTTTCAATGCTGTGTCTGTTAGCCATGCAAAAGCAGTTAGATTTCAGCTGCTTTAGAAATTAGCCCTATCAGTGCAGGAAGAAACCTGATAAAACTCTTAATTACTTATATATAGCCATATATATATATTTATTCCCATCCCAATAGTCTGTTCCGTCATCAGTACCTATTTGGATGTTTCCTTCTCTTGCTTCACTTTGGTAGGTCCAAGGAATGTGGCTTACTTTAAAATGTGAAATGTAAGTGAAACAATTTGAAAAATGAGCTGCTCTCTTTAAAGACAAATGCAGCTCTTAATATTTCCATTCCACTGTTTTTTTTTTTTTTTATCTAGGGCATATACTTGATAATGAAGGATACCACACTGATTGCTTTAAACTCTTTTTGGTCTATTCCTTAATAGCTGTATTTGGTAAAATCTTTATTTTAGTTGTTTTAAGGAAAAATGCTTAACATTTGAAATCCATAAATGGGTGTTTAGTCATCTTTTATAAAATTTCAATTTTTCATTTCCAAAGAGTAAAAAAACACAAAATTAACATTGAATGTCTTAATTGTTGATGGGTTATATTGTATAAATTGTACTGCTCCATATGTAAATATATGTGCCTCTAAAGCCACTTTGTTCTGCTGCTGCTTTTCCTTGTCAGTGTTGAAGACCAGATGGAGCAGTCATCCTTGTACTTTTGGGACCTTTTGGAAGGTAGTGAGAAAGCAGTGGTAGGAACGACATGTGAGTTTTCTCTACTCTGGACTTATGCAGTAAATACTAAACTTTATATCTAGGAGTTTAGTATGATATTGAGGGCCAAAACTGTGTCGGTCCATCAGAACTTACATGTCTGACAATACTAGATTCATCGGCAGAATGATATCTTTGTTTAGTTCTGTTAAAAGCAGCTATTGTATAATTGTACTTGCTAATAATGGAGCCTAGGGAGATTTTTGAGGTGACGAGTCACTGTGATTTGGGAACAAGAGCTAGGGACTAGTGCTTGAGCATTTTGGGGTTCAGTTCTCTATTGTGCGTGGTAGTACCTGTTCTATTTACAAATCTTAAATCCACATATTGTTAATATTAAGGCTTATCTATCAGACCTGCTTAAGAAAATAAGAATGATCTGGCTACATAGTCTATTGAAACATTGTTGTCTATTGGTCTGGAAATGATCTGGAGAGAAAGAGTCCTTTTGGCTTCCTAGATAGGCTTTGGCCAAATGACCAAGTACCAATGTTTGGACATGAAGTACACAGTTTTGTGTACTAGTTTAGGATAATGAAAACTCATTGGAAGCTGGTAAACATTTTTGTTACTAGTGATTGCTTCCTTTTAAAAAATATTTAAGTATGAATAACTATCTCAATTTCTAAGTCCGTTCAAGTTTAAACCACAGAAATTTATTGCTTGGCTAGAATGCAAAATGATACAAAAACTTTGGAAACTAGTTTGTTAGTTTCTTATAAAATTAAGCATGCACTTACTATATAACCAAGCAGTTACACTTCTAGTACCGGAGAGAATTGAAAACATACATTCACATGAGTACTTGTACATGAATGTTCATACCAGCTTATCATAATAGTCCCAAATTGAACACAGCCCGGATGTACACCAACTGATAATTAATAAACAAAATGTGATATATTCATGGAATGGAATCTACTCAGCAGTGAAAAAAGGAATGAACTATTGATACTGCAACAGCATGTATGAATCTCAAAATAATTATGCTGAGTGAAAGAAGCCAGGCACAAAATGAGAACATATTGTATGATTCCATTTATATGAAATTCTAGAAAAGACATAACTAGAACGATAGCAGGTCAGTGGTTGCCAGGGAGTAGACTGATTATAAAAGGGGCATAAGGGAACTTTTGAGTTGTTTAAAATGTTCTGTATCATGGTTATGGTGGAAGTAACATGACTGTTAACATCTGTTAAAACTGTACACTTAAAATGTGAATTTTGTAAATTATACTTCAAATTTGACTTAAAAAAAAAAGGTCATCTGTGTGTCATAGTATTCCTGTGAAAGGAATAGTAGACCCAAATCAGGTATGAGAACTCTGCTTAATTTGGGAATTATGTTTTTAGTAGATATTAAAAATAAAATAGACTTTAGACCTATTTATGGTACAGTGACTTTAATAACATCATTTTAAGATTTTTCTTGATCATCAAATGGTGATGTGCTAGGAGTGAAATATAGCATAACTAAAGAGTAAAATCTTAATCATGGAATTTTATACTTTAAAAATTCTTAGAGGTTGTCCAAAATAGGTTTTTCTAAAGTTTATGTTTGAGGAACTGTGTTGTTTATTTCTCTTAAAGCCTAATTACTTGGGGAAGGTAGAGTAATTCCTTTTTGTGATGTCTTGGGGGCAGATGGGAGAAATCACTTTTCTCCCAGCTCAGGGAATAGATGTGTGCTTTTATAACATACTAGATAAAGTCCTTGATTGGAGTCTCTGAATTTTAGCCATTTTTCAAATGGTGGAAATGGAGGCCCAGGGAAACTTAAGTGACTTGCTAAACTTTGGGATTCTGATTTTTAAAAATTATATTGATTCAGCATGACGTAACGATGGACTGCATATTTCCTTTTCATGGTATGACCAGTTCTTTGAATACCCTCAGTGTAGACTGTTACAATGACATACTACAACTAGGATAAAATTATATTAGGATTTCTATTCCAAATAATTTTCTATGAACTATTAGGCTATGTGATAACTATGTCTTAATCACTCTTTCTTAGACAAACACATGAAGGATCTACTATCTAAATTGTTGAACTCAGGCTATTTTGAAAGTATCCCAGTTCCAAAAAATGCTAAGGAAAAAGAGGTATCATTGGAGGAAGACATGCTAATAAAATCAGAGAAGAAAAAACAATTATCGAAGACTGAATCTGTCAAAGAGTCAGGTTTGTTGTGATCTCTGAAATTCTTTATAGTGGTTGCATTTTTAACACTTAACCAAAATGAGTCAAATCATTGTAAAATGATTACTTTATTTTAATTTTACTTTCTACATGCATGGAAACCTTTACTTGCCCCAGGGTAAGCCTAGGTTTAGGACACATCTCTAGGCTTTACTACCATGATTTGCAGAGTCAACCTTAATAGAAACAATAGGTTATATTTTGTTACAAGAGAGTACACTGTTAAAATGAGGCATTTATGGAATTTGAATTCTTTGTTAAACTATTAAAGTTTAACTCTTTGTTAAACTATTAGGATCATTCCATTTAAAACCATTGTTTAAAATGTGAGTTGTAGTACATTCCAATACTGTATAGAACAAGAATGTAAATAATCTAAGTTTAACATATTGATTTAGGAAAAAAATTGCCAAAATCAGTAAAAGAAATAATGTTTTTCAAAATGCCACTTTTCCTGGAGAAGAAATACTTTGAGTAAATGGCACCTTGGCTATTTATTGTTGAGGCTGGATTTATTTAAGAAATATTACTTCTAAGGAGGTAGTCCAAGCAGCCTTTTGGTAGCCACTAGCAAGATTCGAGTATTTCTCGTTTACCCCATGGCACCAGAGCTATAAATCCAACTTGAAAGAAGCTGTGTTTGTGGGTAAGAGGAGATAGTCCTATTTTCAATCAGAAATCAGTTTTTAACTACAACCTGACTTCAGAAAAGTGTCTTATATAAGCAGAGCTACTAGCTTCAACTAGCCTCAGACCACATGCTTTTGACCAGCACCCAATAGTGAGAATTACTCCTGCCCTGAATGTACTTAATTGCACTATCCTTTTTCTGTTACTATTCTGAAATTTGTTGCTAGAATGAATTACAGTTTAATCAGTGTAAAAACTTGTAGTTTTACCTAGTACTTATTTAATATTCCTTTTATCTTCTCAGAGTCTCTTATGGAACTTGCACAGCCAGAGATACAACCACAAGAGGTAAGGTACCGAAAGGTAATTTTCAGTCAATTGTATTTTTTGAGACTTTTGTATATTGTTGTGGTTAGGAGCTGAGGCTTTGGAGCTAGACTGCTTAAGCTTGAATCCTGGCTCTGCAGCTTATTAGCTTAATGACTTTGGGCAAGTTATATAGCCCAGCTGTGTCTGTTATCCTCCTACATAAAATGGGAATAATAACAATGCCTGCCTCATATGGTTATTGTGAGGTTTGAAGGAGTTAAATCTGAATTACTTCAATTTGGCTTGGCACGCAGAATGGCTCAAGTGTTAGCTGGTGGTGGTGGTGGTTTTGGTCCCTGTATTGGAATTTGAAGATGGGTGGGATTTTGCTCTTTCCAGAATTTACTCATATTGGTAATAGAAGAGGGCATTTGTTCTCTTTCTGGAGTGACATCGGAATTCATGGAAGCCGAAAAGAATGGAAGAAGCAAAATCATAGTATGATTGATATATAATGGGAATAAAGAAAAGGCTGGTAATTCAGGAAACATAAGGCTTCAGTGTAAAGAGTAGGACTTTGTGTAGTTGAACTACCCTCTGCCTTAACTTGAAGGGAGTCAGGTGGTCCTAAGCCTGGCAGAAGCAGAGTAACCTTGGTAAAAGAGCCTGAGTCAAGCAAATGTGGCACCACGGTGTGCACTGCTTACCAGTCGTAGGTGAATCAAATATATATAGGTTGCTACTTTTGAAGTATACTTTCGAAGTTTGTCTTTCTGTTAATTGAGGGGAAAGGAATGGACATAAAAGTAGAATACTCTTTTCAAGTAGGATAAGGTCAGAAGTTTCCTGTTAGCACAGTGGCTCAGACCAGTGGACATAGGAGTTCAGTATTCCCTTCAAGGTCTTCTACAGACTGTGACTTGAGCACATTCTCCCTGTGGTTTAGTTTCTTAACAGACGCTACATGACAGAAGTAGATTATTCAAGTAAACAAGATGAAGAGCAATCTTGGGAAGCAGATTATGCTAGAAAACCAAATCTCCCCAAATGTTGGGATGTGCTTACCGAACCAGATGGTCAGGAGAAGAAACAGGAATCCTTCAAGTCCTGGGAGTCTTCCGTGAAGCATCAGGAGGTATCAAAGCCTGCAGTTTCCTTAGAACAGAGGAAACAAGAGATTCCAAAACTCAGGTCCACTTTGCAGGAAGAGCAGAAGAAGCAGGATGTCTCGAAAACCAAGGCACCTCCTAGCCAGTGGAAGCAAGAAGCTCTTAAATCCAAAGTGGGATACATTCAAGAGGAACAGAAGAAGCAGGAGACACCAAAGCCTTGGCCAGTTCAGCTGCAGAAAGAACAGGATCCAAAGAAGCAAACTCCAAAGTCTTGGACACCTTCTGTGCAGAGTGAACAGGACATCACCAAGTCATGGACCGCTCCCACGTGTGAAGAACAGGATTCAAGACCGCCAGAGACTCCAAAATCCTGGGAAAACAATGTTGAGAGTCAAAAACACCCTTTAACACCACAATCACAGATTTCTCCAAAGTCCTGGGGGGTAGCTACAGCAAGCCTCATACCAAATGACCAGCTGCTACCCAGGAAGTTTAATACAGAACCCAAAGATGTGAGTTGATTTGTATCAGTTTGTTCCTATCAATGTAGGCATAAATAGAGATTTGTGGTAGTGATAATTTAAAAGTTCTCTTTAGGAAAAGATGGGTAAAATCCATGTTTAATTAATGTATTAAGTATTTCACTTAGCTCTTTAATGCATAGAAAATTGGAAGCAGATTTAATCTGTCATTTGCGCCTAACCTGAAGTGAAATTTCCACAATTAGAAAATATTGTTTTAATGCTCAAATTTTAATGACATGATATAACATCAAAATAGTGGATAGTTCAGAAGAGACCATAATGTTGAAGAAGTGAGAAACGTAAATGCATGTCAAAAGGCAGGAGACCTTTTTCTGACAGAAGTTACATTTTTCTGTATTCTCTTCCTTCTCTTTCATTTATAGTCACTCAAATTAGCCTGTCCTCTTTGAAGAAGGTACAGATGGTCAGGAGAAGAAACAGGAATCTTTCATGTCCTGTTTCAGAAGAAGCAGTAGTTGGGGAAGGATCTGAATTAGTTATCTATTTCTGTTTCAAAAGAATTTTCTGCAGATGAAAAGTATAGGCATTAAATATTCTGTAATTAGGTTTTGGAGTATGAGATTTAGTTCAAATATAAGGCCTCATTCTGCTAATGATAAATAACCCATGTCAGTAAGATAAGAAGCCTTATAATGAATAATCTTGGATACGATGCTAGTTAGTGTTGTCTTTTATTAAAGTGTAAGTTATTTACCACCGTTTCATTGCAGACTTGTTGAAGACTTGTTACCACCTTGTTTGCTAAGAAAGGTGAACTTGCTACCCTCCCAGTGTTCTCCATATACATCTAGTAGTGTTCCTGTACTTCCACGCCATTTTAGCCAAAGGCCTGCCCGGAAATCTTTGGTCCTCTAACAGTTTGAAAAACATTTTGCTAAGGACCTACTTTATTGCACAGGGAACTGTAATAAATATTTTATAATAACCTATAAGGGAAAAGACTCTGAAAAAGAATACACACACACACACACATAAAACTCAATCACCATGATGTACACCTGAAATTAACACGATATTGTAAATCAACTATACTTCAGTTAAAAAAGGTGGGGGGAGAAAAACAATTCGCTTAGGGAATTCAAAGCATTGCATTTTATAAATTACCCCCGCCTCAATTCTACCTTATGAGAAGAGAAGTTTAGAATTATTTGTCTCCTTTCATTTTCCTTTCTTCCTCTTTAAGTGGTAATATAATTTTAGCTTCTTCCTGACCCTGCAGAAGATTGGTAGCCTTTTTCATTAACTAGATATCATATGACAGTAATTGTAATGTAGCAACTATTTTGAGAGATTTATACCTAAAAACCCAATTTAATACCTCAATAAAGCTGTTTAAAAAACCGCAATTAAAAATTCCACTAGGTATAGCAGTGCTGAACCTTTACCGTACCAGAATATTGGTACCATGCTGTTTGCTGAATAGTATTTAAAATTAAGGGTGTTTAATTGGAAAGGTCAAAACTCATTTAATGTGCTTTATGGCACAGACATCATTATATTGAAGTTACAGGGTCTCTCAGTGACTGAGAGGACGCTTCTCTGTATAGTAGAGTATTTGCCTCTATCTGTATTGAAATCTCAGCTGTTTGGAACATGACCAAGTACTGTCAAGGGCAAAATAGAGTTCAAAGCCAAAAGACTAGGTAACATGAAATAAATCACTAAAGTTCATACTTTTCTCCTAAAAGAGCGTTTCATATATTCCCTTAGGGTCTGTTAACAGTTATTTTATGACACTGTTGACAAGCTTAGCTGTGTGACTCCCCAGTGAATTAGAAGGAGAAGAGGAGCTGGTAGGGACAGGCTTGCTGATACCTGTAAGAAATAACCATAAACATGAGGTCTGTTTCAGGGTATTCAGCAATCTTAAGAAATTTAGCAGGAGGGCGAACCACCTTCTAAACATCAGTAGCCCCCTCCCCCCCAAAGTATACCTACTGTATAACAGAATATAATAGTATATTTCCTCAACTCTAGGATGTATATGTTTTTACATCTTACTGTTTCTGAAATCAGATATGTGTTAAAAATGGGATGTATATTTAATGTGGTAGTAGTAATTTTTTTCCCTGGGGAAAAAATCATTGATGTGTTTTATATTATAGTCAGTGGCATCTTATCATAGAGGACACAGGGTAACTGATGTCCATAATGAGAGAACTTCTATCAAGGAAGTTCTGTTGCTCTGGGCCTTCCCTTTAAAAAGATGATGTTTAGAAACATTTCCCATTAAAGTTGTTCTGAAGGAGGAAACATGAAAAGTTTGCTTAAATTACTTAGAAAATGCATTTATGTGGAAATTCTTTACCTGAGATAAATCTATAAATGAGCACTGCTATGTGTTTTGATTACATTAAGATGTAGTGATAAGCTTAGTTTCCTGAATTAGGCTTTTGAATTGGAATTTCACTCTTATACATTATGGGTTTATCTTATAGGTGCCTAAGCCTATGCATCAGCCTGTAGGTTCTTCCTCTACCCTTCCAAAGGATCCAGTATTGAGGAAAGAAAAACTGCAGGATCTGATGACCCAGATTCAAGGAACTTGTAACTTTATGCAAGTATGAGTCATTATTAAGTGAATCTTAAATGATAGTCATGGGACTGCTAGCTTCTGATCTGAAGCATTAAATGAAGTTGTTAAGAGCATAGATTCTGGTGTCCAGAATGAGTACAAATCTCAGTTCTGCCACTTCCTAGCTCTGAGAATTAGGCAAGTTACTTAACTCTCTGCCTCAATTTCTTTTTGAAAAAATGATAATAGTTCCTACTCCTGTTTGTTGTGAGTAATAAAATGAATTAAACATGTAAGAAGCTTAAAATGCTCAAATGATATTGCTGCTGTTGTGTGTAGATAATCATAAGACATTCATTATGACACATGCTAAATTGTGTCATACAGACTCTTACAGAATTTCAGAATAGTATGGTATTACTGAGGGATGAAGTAGGCAAATAAGAGATTTTTGTGTAGTAAAAAGATTTTGAGCTTTGGAATTAGACCTGCATTTAAATCCACTTCTACCAGTTACCAGTTGTGTAATCTGTGGCAAGTTATTTAACCTCCAACCTTCTGCTTATTTGTAAAGTGAGGGAATTGCATACCTCTTCAGATTATTTGATAAATAAAAGACCTAAAACAATCACTGTAAGTGTATAGGTTAAGTACTCAAAACATTGGAAATATTTTTAGGATAACCAGGATAGGCAGATGGGAGAAGAGAATGCCTTCTTGTCATGAAAGTCTCTAAGAGCATGAGTTAGTTTAGTGGTTGAGATAAAATAATTAGACCCTCTCATTGGTTATAATAAAAACGAGGGCTCAGTCTACGCTAGGATTAACGTTTAAGACTTCAAGTCAGGAGTTTTCTTTTCCTAATTTGGCCTTAGAATTACTATTAGAGTTTTAACACTTGACACAGTCTTTTTTTTTTAATTAATTTTTGGCTGCATTGAGTCTTTGTTGCTGCACATGGGCTTTCTAGTTGTGGCGAGCAGGGGCTACTCTTTGTTGTGGTGCACAGGGTTCTCATTGCAGTGGCTTCTCTTGCTGTGGAGCTCGGGCTCTAGGCAGTCAGGCTTCAGTAGTTGCAGCATGTGGGCTAAGTAGTTGTGGCTCGCAGGCTCTAGAGCACAGGTTCAGTAGTTGTACGGGCTTAGTTGTTCCGTGGCATGTGGGATCTTCCCAGACCAGGGCTTGAACCTGTGTCCCCTGCATTGGCAGGTGGATTCTTAACCACTGCGCCACCAGGGAAGTCCTGACACAGTCTTTTTTTTTCCTTTTAATTAATTAATTAATTTATTTTTGGCTGTGTTGGGTCTTCGTTGCTGCGTGTGGGCTTTCTCTAGTTGTGGCAAGTGGGGGCTACTCTTCGTTGCGGTGCATGGGCTTCTCATTGTGGTGGCTTCTCTTGTGGCGGAGCATGGGCTCTAGGCACGTGGGCTTCAGTAGTTGCAGCATGTGGGCTCAGTAGTTGTGGCTCACGGGCTCTAGAACACAGGCTCAGTAGTTGTGGTGCACGGGCTTAGTTGCTCCATAGCATGTGGGATCTTCCTGGACCAGGGCTTGAACCCATGTCCCCTGTGTTGGCTGGCAGATTCCTAATGACTGCACGACCAGGGAAGCCCCTGACACAGTTTTAAGGTTTGACAGTTACTTTAGATTTCGTTTTTAATTCTCAGTTTCTTCTCCTATAAAGACTAAGTTATTAACATCTTGAGATGGTTATTAGCTAGATTCCTGTAGCTCATAAGCAGTTGACATCATAAATAATTTAATGGTAATGGCTTTACCAACAAATGATAATCTTTGTTTTCACTTATTATTTAAACTCTTGTCTTTAGGAATCTATTCTGGATTTTGACAAACCTCCAAGTGCAATTGCATCATCACAGCCGCCTTCAGCTACTCCAGGTAGCCCAGTAGGTATGTCCTCATTCTTAAGACTTGTTAGACCTACGGCTGTTTTTCCAATTACTTCTTTTACATATAATTTTACTCTAGATTATCTTAAGGTTAAACTATGTCTGTGTGTTAATTTTTTCTAAATGTGTACATATGTTATCAGAGTTACATACGGGTAAATTACCATGAGGATGTTAGTGTACTTAACTGACCTGTTTGCATTTTAGAGAAGGTCTCCAGATAGGTGAATGGAAGTACACAATATTAGTTGTCTTTGCTACTTTTTATATTCTTCTTGGAGTGAATTCTGACTAGAACCTGCTTGACTTCTTTCAACTCTGTATGTCTAGTGTGGAGGCTTTTGGATCCTAACTATGAGTGAAATTACATCAGTGGTATTTAGTGCACAGGTTAACACAGTAACTAATGATGCAGCCCAGATCTCAATGTGGTCTGATGCTTCAGACTTTAGGCTTTTTGTTCTACACTAGTTTATCTCAGAGGTGGAATGACATAATCAAAGCCATAGTTCAGCTGCAGTGAGCAGTAGACACCAACCAGAAGACTGGTCCAGTAACTCCTGGGTAGGGTAAGGAGAAGGAAGAGAGAGTACTTAAGAAAAGTGATAGAGATTAATAAGAAACCAAACTGAAACTATGTCATTGAAAAGTATATTTAATTTACATGATCAAAGAGAAAAGAAAACTGAAGAGCCAGATGACCCCTGCACTTGTAACTTAAAGTGTATCAGCTAAGTACTGCTCATGATAGCTCAGGTTTTATCATCCAGATTACAATTACCAGTTTTTTAAAAGTCATAGTTCTTTTCTTTTGGAAGCCTTGAAATGCTGCTTTTGTCCATTGATGGAACTAGTATCCTTTTTTTCTGTAATCCTCTTTGACTCTTTTTAGAGTTCTACTACAATAGAAAGGACTTGAGACTAGTTCTGCCAGATACTGCTTTGTTTTATGAAGTATAAACTTTAGTTTCCACCCAGTTGGTATGCGTAAACTTTTCTCCTCCCTCAGTAGTTTACTGTTGATTTCACTCTCTGCAGCATCTACAGAACAAAATCTATCCAATCAAAGTGATTTTCTTCAAGAGCCATTACAGGTAACTTTTCCAGACTGATCTTTCATTTACTCTTCTTTGCTATTCAGGGAGAAAACTCTTGCTTTGGCAAGAATGATCAGACTCGCTGATTCTAATATACCTAACGAAATTATTGAAAATGTTCTAAGGAGATCGAGTTTTTTAGATTAAGTACAGCTGGTTCTCAAAAGATTCCCTAATAAACATGGGGAAGTCATCTGTTATAATAGAGGAGGTTAGCTGATGTTAGTAAGGAAAGAGTAAGCCTGAAGAATTCGGAGGTACTTTGGGAATCTTACTTTGCTGTTGAGCTACCTAAGTCACTTAGTATATTGGCAGAGTAAAGGGTATAAAGAAAGAAACTAATTTTGCTTAACTCATGGTTAGCCAGTCCCACCCGCCTATGTATATCTAACATTCTGATGAACTAATTTTCACAGAACACACTTAGAGTTATAAAGGGACCAGATCATTGAGATCTGTAAATGCCACATTGCATTTCCATCAATAGTAAGTTCAAGATTTGCTAGTTTTCTGGTCATTACTTTAAAAAAATTTTTTTTTCTCTGGATCCCTCTGAAAACCTTATGGCAATTTTCTAGACACAACTGCTTT